TACCGTATTGTGTTTTAGGTGAGCAGAACCCTTACATGGAGTTTTACACAAAAAAGCAGTATTTATTAAGAATTTTTCTAAAAATGTTTAATTTGTGGACTCAAATCAGCAATTATAAATTTGTTTCACTAATTGACGAAACAAGATGGAAAATGAACGATCGAATGACACACTACATTTTTGTAAACAGTAGCATTTTATGTCTTTGTACCTTTGCAATATTTCGAAGTCACACAATTATCAAAACAAGCTTAAGCATCTAGCAAAGACAATTTTGGATGCTTTTTCAAAATACCAATTTTATCTTAACAGAACAAATATGTTTCAGATCGTTCGCATAAATTAACCTCTCTCGTTGCAATGCGTCTCGTCTTCTCTCGTCCTACGAATGCGCATTGTATAATCGTAAGTCATCAACAGAGTTTTGGCAATATTATTACAATATAGGTACAATTTTCTAAAAAACGTAAGCTTCTATTTTTTTGTTTTTTCCTTTTAGCCCAGAAGGGCTATTAGTCTCGAAATGGCATTTTCCGTCGAATCACTATAAACGGCTGTATCACTTTTCAAATTGTTGCCACCAAATATTATCGCTCTGTATTATACTAAAGAAACTACATAATAAAGAATCTATACGAATTGCGTATGTTTTTCGTATTGTGAAAAAAACAACGGTATTTAAAATTATCAAATTTTGAATAACGTTCTGCAGCCGAACATCGGCACCTGGAAGCCCGAATATGGAATTTCTTTCTTTGACTATTTCATATTTTTTAAAACGTTAACAAATTTTTGATTAAAAATCTCAGCAATTTCAAAGGGAGCAGAGGCAACACTGCAGGGAATAGACATTTTTATCTCCAGCGTGGGAGACTGCCTATAGAAAATTCTAAAGATATGCTGTTTTTAAACATTTTTAGACCAATGGGGCAAAAGACCAAATACTCTAAAAGCGTGTATATGTCTGCAAATGAAAAAAAAAAAAGTTCATTTTCGACATAAAATTTTCAGAACCTGAAACAAAAAAGCTAGGGGGGATACGCGATGAAATACCGCAATAGAAATTAAATATAAAATTGTCGGATAAATAACGAAAGCTGTTAATAATTTACTTAGAACAAGGTATTTTATAGACATTTTTAAATAAATTTGGAATCAGATTATGTGCATCTCTAAAAGTATATTTTTGCATGCATGTAAGTGAATGTACGTTCATATATATATATATATATAAACTTAAAGAATCTAAAGTGAAAATTAAATTAAAATCAAAGCAAGGCAATTCCTCAACAATTATATCTATATGCATAACAAAAGAAAAAAAATCTTACTCATTCAAGGAAAAAGAGAATGAAAAAAATTGACTCTAGAAATGAATTTCAGTTAGGATTATTTCAAAAATTTCATATGTGGAATTACAGAAGTATTGATTTTGCTTGATTTTAAAATTAATTTTCGAAATATCTGAACAGTTAACTAAAATTCCCTTATTTACATTTTATTATTGTGTATCTACTAAAATATGATTAGCATATTGCCAAGTGATATACTAAAGTAAGCAGTTAATCATGCAGTAAAGCATAACGTAGGTGACGCAGCTTAAAATGAGAAAGAAGACCCAAAAAGAAATGCTTTCTAAATAATGGATACTAAACAATAATAACAACAACAATAATAATAATAATAAAAAGAAAGAAAATCTGAAAGGTTTCAGATTTTAAATTACGTCCAAAGGGGCGTTTTTTAAAAATATCTTGTGTGTTACTTTTTTATATTAAATATCATGATCTTCGCACTTAAACTATAAAATTCAGTTCAAGAGCAATATCGCAAAATAAGTTTAAACTTAACATATCTTTAGAATTTCCGATACACAGTTTCACGCGCTGGAGATAAAAATGTTTTTTCTGTACAATGTTGCCATTGCTCGCCTTGAAATTCTTGAGTTTGTTAATCAAAAATTACTTAAAGTTTTACAAAATATGAAATCGATAATAAAACAAATTCAAAATTTCAAACTTGGGTTCCACATGCCTATATTCACAGTAGGATTACGTCATTCAAAATTTGATGGCTCTAGGTACCGTTGTTTTATTACAATGCGAGAAACATACATACATTTATGCAGATTCTTTATTATTTAATTTCTTTAAATATAATACAGAGCAATAATATTTGGTGGCAATAATTTGAAAAGTGATACAGCCTTTAAAGTTTTCAACGCAAAATGCCAAAATGAAAATAATAGTCCTTCAGAGCAAATTGCCCCTATAGACTAAAAATAAATTTAGTTTTAAGAATCAATTAGAGTTTCCTGTTACATACATACAGTCGCACTAATTGCATTATCGAATTCTGTTTATTTGTTAGTCCTGAGGGAAATGAATAAAAGTTTCATTTATTTTACATATCATTTGATAAAAATGACGTTATATATCATTTGATATCAATCTAATCGTTGAAAACAGTTATAGGCAATCTTTTTAATGCCTTAAGGTAAAAGAAAATAAAGCATCCATAGTGAAATTCCTCTTTACTTATTAAACATGTAATAATTGACGATAAACCCACACGACTGGAATCTGATCAATTTTGAAACGTAAATTAAATTCGCGAGCAAAATTTAGGAATAAGCAAAGCTATATTTTAGCTTTTTATTTGTTTGAATTTAATAATTTGAATAAATAAGAAACATTTCAATAGCGATAAGCAATAGCTTTGCTTATTGCTTATTGCTATTGAAATGTTTCTTATTTCAATCAGAGAATAAAGAGTGTAATTGCTATTAACTGTTAACTTCTGAGTTGTCATTGCATAACTTTGATGGATTGGCTATTAAAACTCTTCGCGTTTTACCTCGTTGTATTTTTAAAACAACTAAAATAGTACTTTAATTAAACTGCAAATTCGTAATAAGGGGTGATACAAGCTTATTATAGTTCAGAGAAATCGGTGCCGCTAATTAAAATGGTAATAATTCCTGAAGGGGAAAAGAAGAATTTCCTGCTTACAAATTGTTTACGAACTCTAAAAATTTTAAATTGTAAATTTCGTATGTAATTATTTTTATATGTAATTATTAATAAGTTAAAATTAAGAAAAATTGATGAAGAAACACGGAATCATTAGTAAAGTGTTAGTTACAGTAAGTAGTAATTAACTGAATAAATATTTGACTTTCGTAGAAAATTTTAATAATTTTTCAATAACCGAATGCAAGGTATAGGAAACTATGTACAGGAATTGTTGCTGTAGAAAGCGTAGAAAGCCTGAAAATGCGTCATTTCAGATGCGCATTAGCTTAAGAAGAAACAACAAAAATTTCCTTAAAATGTTGAATTGCGTTTGAATTACGTCAGAGATACGTTTATTTTTCAAAAAAATCAGATTAAATAAACAAATAAATAAGCTTTTTTTTTTTTTTTTTTTTTTTTTTTTTTGTACTTTTAACGTAAAAGATGATTTTTATCATATATAAATAAATTAAATAATTTAAAAAATAATTAATGCAGTAAACAGTTAAATTTAAACTATTCGAAAAATCGTCAAACGTTTGTAAAAGAAAGTATGAAAATATTACAGAATCGTCTCTGTGCAGTAGTTCTAGAATAAGTGAAGGGGGGATACTCGCCTAATAACCCAGCTGAATCATAATTAAAGAAAAATTAAATAGAACAGTAAGTTCAAATAACTGAAGTTAGAGGCTTATTTGAAAGGATTCACAAAACAGAAATTCATAATGGAAACGCGCTATGTATGTATCTTGGGAACAGTATCAACACAAGAAGGCATTCACAGTACCTTCACAGAACATTAAAACGTTTATGAACGTTTTATGAACATACAGGCAAAAATATATTTCTCAGAATCATAAAAAAGAAGAAAAAAAGAAGATAGTTACAATTAGCTGAATATTTCAGTATTTTTATAGGATCATGGGAATTTAAATTTAATAAGTAGGCGAAATTCACCATAGATTAGCGTTGCTTTTGAGCAAAGTAATTTGAAAAGGGGGTTAATATTAAACTTTTTTTTAAATTAAACTATCCTTAGTAGATTACTGTTCAGTATTTCGAGAGACAATCTCACTCTGATATTTCTTTTTCTGGCAAGAGACTATTTCAAAGCATCTCTCAGTTAATTCTATTTAGAACTTCATTAACTCTGAGAATAAGGAATGGTGTGGGGGAAATCGATGCAGTTAATTTCTTAAAAACATTACTAAAGTATCACTACAAAAGAAATTAATGAGCTTTCTTGGCCACCGAAAGAAATAACAATCCTGTTTAAATAATATATTAATTATATTTTAGGAAGACACATTTCAACAAGGATTTGATGAAAACAAAAATTTTGTTGTTGCTATTATCAGTAAGAACTGGAAAATCTGGAACCTGTACCAGAAACTAAATTATATTCTAAATTTTCTTTAAATAAAATTGATGTTAATTGTCAAAAGGAAATGCTAGGACAGAATATTTCATTTTTAGTATGCTGCAATGAGAAGATCTGTTAAACAGATTTAAAAGTATTTCGTATTAAATTAATGCATTTGCTTGGACAGGGGAGGGGGATTGTTTGAAGCGTACCTAATAGAACGTTACCTTGCTTCAAATCATTTTCCTCCATAGAAGCGAATTGTTTTGCCTTGGAAACGGGAGGCGCGAGAGAAAATGCGGAAAGCGAAGCAGTGACGAAATCGAAACCTATAGAAACAAAATGCTCTAATAGCGAAAACTATCGTCATAATCAATTGTCTGGGGTTTGAAACCATGCTTTGAGACCGCACAAGTGAAGGCGGAGCAAAGCGTGCTGTAATTGCATGTCGAGGGAAAGAGGGGGGCGCTACGATCGGCTGCCAAACATTTCATTGGCCAATTAGGCTATTCGTTCGGCCCACGAGGGGAGAAGGGGTGAAGAAGAGCCCCGCAACAGCGCGGACTTCATTATCAGCTAAAACTCGTTTATTCAACTCACCTTGTCTGATAAGTAGTGCCGGAGCCAGTCGCTCACTCTAAACAAGCACTAAGTGAGGCGGGCAGAAAAAGGAAAGCTCGCTGCGTTTCTAACGGGAAATTCTGACATAGCTCGATTCTGATGGAAGAACTGATGCTGTGCTGTGTGATTAGTGCCGATAATTAGCGATTGAATTCAAGGGGGGAAAAAGATTGTCCTCGCTTATATGTAATTAACCATTATTTTTCACGTCTGAGGTGTCGAGTTATATTATTAGTGAAACTTCTCATGTATGAAATAAACTGTGAAAACCGCTTTCTTCATCCTGATAATAGTACGAACAAAAATCTGTGGAGTAAGGGAAATTTTGAATCTTATTCGGTGTTTTAAAAAAATGCAGCCAGTCAGCAAAATGTATCCATATCGAGAGATTTTAATTTGAAGATTCTACATTTACATTTTCCATATTTCTTCGAGTGTCATGATCCAGAGGTGACATTACTGAGTGTTTAATAACGAAAGTTTGAAACATCTGTGATCAGTACTATTATTTAAAAAATGTGGAATCATCTCATAAATATTTCTTGCACTCCAGAGCAAAAAGAATATAATGTTCTGAAGACAGATGCAAATTTAAGGTAGATATAAAACCGATTTAAGAATCCGCCGAAAGATATGGATGACGCAGATAGTGCAGAAACAGTAAGTAGTAGTCGAGCGGGGTCTGCTAACAGCGGTAGAGGATCTTCGTCTCCTCCTATTAACAATCATCATTTATATAGCAACCCCAGTTCGAACAATAATAATAATAATCCCTCTCCAACTCCGCTGCATTCGCCTTTGGTGACCAAACCGCGGCTATCTTTCAGCATTTCTAGGTTGCTAGGCGATGAACAGAAACAAAATAGTATACCATCACCTTTATCAGAAGGCTATGAAGATGGGCCAGAAGACCACGGGCATGCTGCTAACAATAGTCACCACCAACAACAGATGGCCGCGATGGACGCAATGACCGCCGTTGCTAATTCTTGTGCTGCTGCAGTAGCTAACGGCTTGCCGCCATCACTTCTGGCCGAAATGAAAGCCTCCGTTCCCGGGATGATGACCGCATTTGATACTCTTCATAGGGCACCTAACGGATCGGTCATTAGAGTACCAGCCCATAGGCCAGCCCCTATGCCTTACGCCACGGCTGCTGGATTCCCGTGGATGGGTCCCGGAGGTCCCACGCTTGTCAAAGACAGACTCCATGGTAAGAGAATTTCCATTGTTACCTTCTGTTTCATACAAGAAATGATTTATTTAGTTACAAAATGTGTTCTTAGACAACACACTTAATTTAAGAAATCATGAAGCACATGTTCTTTAAAGATATCTCAGAATTTCTTTTTTTCAAACGTGGTAAACTGCGTGAATTAGTTCTATGGTGTAATATAGTAGGCAAAATATTAGCTTTAGCAACACTTTATAGAATGTAATAATAAAAAGTGTGTCTGTCATGCCATATAGAATGTTATATTTCCATATAGGAGCTTAAAAAGTGTATTTATTTAGCGTTGAGTACTTATCTAGGAAACAGAAAAAATTGATACGAATTCTGTTAGGCTGCATGATAAAAAATTGTTTCAAACGGTAGTTTTGTAAATTACTCAAACGACTTTTTTGTATTGTATTAGTACCTTGCTTAAGCTATTCATTAGAAAAATATGAGAATAAGAGAGATTCAAAAGATATATGGCTCAGATGAGTAAGACAAAATACTATTTTTTAAAACAAAAATTTACCAGTTAGGCTCCAGTTACAATTTTTTAAAAAATTTTACAGAAATAAAAAACATTCTTTTTCCGTGTCTTTTATGAAAACTGCTTAAAATATTTCAAAATTAGATTACATTAATCATATATACAAGGAAATTTAATTCCGGCTAAAATACATTCTTTGAAAAGCATAAAAGAAAAATTATTCAAATATTAATGCAATGTTTTAACTGGAATAATTCTTATATGCTGTTTGTCGTTTCTTAAAATACTCTTTATGTACTCTTTTTATATTCAATTCTTTTATTCAAAAATAATAAAAAAAAAATCTTTTTTTATTATACAATTATTTAAGTACAAAAGAGAAAAACACAGATAAAAATGTAATTTAAAATAACTGCTTTTAACATTTTTAATTATATGCATCATGTCTTTAAGAATAGAAATAGAAGTACTTCTTAATCATAACCAGTGTAAATTCTATGGATCTTAAAATAAGTTGCAATAGAAGAGAAATACCAAAGCAGAAAGAAATTGCTCTTCAACAAAACTGATCACGAAGTTTTTTGTGGAATGTTAAACTTGAACAAAGCAAAAGCATACATAGAAAAAAAGATTGTATTTAAATTTTGTAAGAATTTGTGCTTAATTACTGCTTATATTATTTAATACCATTTAACACTTATTCAAAGTGTAAATGCAAACCAGTTTTCCTTAGAATGTCCTTCAAGAAGACCTTCCTTCTTTTAGGCAGTCAACGCTCGTATGTCTTGCAATAAGAGATTAAATATACAACTTATCAACTTATTCAAAGCTAAAAATAACGAGTATTGATACTAATCCAATTAAAGTGATTAGAATCTTATATAGAAAATTTGATCAATTAATTTCCTTTTATTTATAGTGAAATTAGAATACTACTAATGCCATTATGTGTAAAAGAAAACAGAAATTAACAACAATTGGCATAAAATAAATAAAATATACAATACTGTATACCATAATTTTAGACTAATTCCTTCTGTTATTCCCCCTTTTTAGCATTTGGTCCCTTTGGTATGCTCTTTTATAACAAGAGAATAACTTCACCCAACTGAGTTGAATTTCCCACCTCAATATCCTATTGAATCAACATTGAAGAGAATTTAGATGGTTATTAAGGTGTTTGAATATTATTTATTTCACTTGTTAGGTATTTAATAAACTGAAATTTTTCTGAATACTATATAAATGTAATATAATTTTCCACATTTATGTATTTGCCGCCCAAACAGTATAGTGATTAGGGAAGTCGACTGCGATACCGAAGGGCCCGGGTTCGAATCTCGGAGAAGGCATGGGCGTAACTGTCTGTATCTTCATAGGAGGTAACAGTGGCCGCCTAGTAGGTGCCTCCGTAATAAAATGGCCACTACTTCTGGCCTTAGGAGTGACAAATGTCGAAAAAAGACAAGAGCCCGCCGTACAGTTGGGGGGGGGGAATACATATTAATGCATTTCACACATTTCGAGCATAAAAATTGAAACTTGTAAAAATAAAATGATGTAATGAAATCCCCAAACATTAAGGAAGCTAATAAAGAACTTAAAAGAATAATAATAAAAAAAAAAAAGACTCGAAAATCATAGTACATTCTCATTCAATTTCCTTCTTTTATCCAATTCTGTGTCTTTGAGACATTTTGACTCAAAGGTTATTTAAAGTGATACACACACAGTGTATTAAAAACGCTTTTCATTATAGTTGTGATAAATAATTTAGCATTCATTTTTTTGATTGATAACTCAAGCAGCAATTTCTAATAAGAGTTATTTTTGAAAGGTTGAATTAAATTAATACTACTGAATATACAACTGATAAAATAAATAAAATATAAATAAAAAGTAAAAATAAATATGCCTGAATGTAAGGTAAAAAACGATATGTTTATATGTTATTTGAATATGCCAAAACTGACGACTACTATCTGTATATTTGAAGGAATGTCTTCGTGGAGGACTTCTTAAGGAAAACTCGCTCATATTTATATTAAACATAGGAGTAGTTCATGGAAAATCCCATCCAGCTAGCCAGTTTGTCAGGATACGGGCCCAAGTCGAACTACTAGTATTCAGCAATTTTACCTGTCGGCTTCTGGATGGGATCTTTGTACATATATAGCTAGAGAGATATGTTTGAATATTGTTTGGTGCTTAATCTAATTGTATGACATTTTTTATAAATATGCGTACAGGTATGGTACACCTAACTTTTTTAGCTAAGTAATATATTTTTAACTACTCTATGATTATATTTCTTATGCCCACATATATAAATATACAAAATAGATTTTTTGGTGGAAAGAAAATCTCAAATTGGAGGGCAGAACGGTTAGCAATGAGTAATTTGGAGGAGATTTAGCGATATGATCAGGGGTAAAGACAAGCTGTTATCAGGGTCCTGCGATACGATACTTCATAGGAGATAACAGGAAAAGAAAAATCAAGAATCTGAAAATTTTTCATTTCCTCGAATGATTTTCAACTTAATTAAATTTAACAAGCCGGTTATTAGATAATATTTGACGGGAAAATGCCACTGTATTGAGATAAAGATACATCGTAACTGTAATGTATCACAAACTGAAAACGCGTACTTACTTTTATAGCGGATTTCAAATCATTTATTTGCGTGGGATCAGTAAATGCTATATCTGTATTTCTCGCTAGGTTTCGTTTCGATTTATTGCGGGAACTTCTATTAGAAAATCTTCTGCGTGTTGCAATGTGCCCCACTATACTTATTTCAAAAATTACTCTGCTTCCAACTTTTGTAATTACGACAGGCTTGCACCTAATGTAAGAGAGTTCCTTTGTGTTTTCTTAAATCTTTGATATTTGCCATAGCTTCCAATTCTGAAAGGTCAAACTGATTCAAATAATCGTTGTTTTTATACTTTTGAAACGTCCACAATGGAACATTGATCCATTAGTTCAGTTTGCCACTTTGTTTGCAGTGGTCTTCACGTATTGCTGAATATGGTATTGCTGAATATGGTATTGCTGAATATGGTATTGCTGAACACGTATTGCTGAATATGTATTGCTGAACACGTATTGCTGAATATGGTAGTGAGATCTGAAAAGTACTTTCTTAATTTCGGCAGCAAACCTTACTGCATTCAGAAGCAGCGCGATGCAAAATACTGACGATGCATGTCATACAATGCATTTTATAATAAAGAGTTTGAACTCTTTAAATGCCTTTAATATAGATTCTGCTTAGTCTGTGAGAGCATATAGATTGCATGAGAGCATATAGGTCAGTGTGATATAGATTGTATTTAATCGTACTAGCCTGTAAAAGCGTACATACATTATTGAACGATTATATTATAAAGTGCTTTAGAGGCAATACTTTTAGATTTACGGCTCTCCAGTCAACGGAAGAGGGGGGGGGATAAATTCATTATTCATTTCTCTTTTTAGAACTTGCAGTTTCATTGAGAATAAATTATACCGGACAATCTTCTATAACTGCTTTAACACACTATTCAAGTCAAAGACAGATATTATTTTTCTCGAAGGGTATTTTCATCTGGAACGGATTTTTAAAATGTACTTTTCTATGTATTCTTTTATGGAAGAAGTTTTGCTTCACACAAAGATATCCTTTTCAGAAAATATAAATGTTAATCAATAAAAATAAGTTGAACTGACTCTGAATATTTTCTGATTTATTTATGCATTCAGAAATAATGCTTACCATTAATATGAAAAATAGCGCAGATTTTTTTTTTTTTTTTTCCTTTAAAAGACGTATTCCTCAAATTACCAAGGTGGCAAGTTAATCTAAGATGGTTTTCGTCAAAATTTCGTTAAATTAATTCTCGAATCACAAAACTCCAATTTCTTTTAAAGATGTTTCAAGCTTATCGATGATAACCTATTCATTCAAAAAAGTAAAAATATAATTGAAAATAAAAAAAAAAAAAAAATTGCTTCGATAATAATTTTTTTCTTTTCTTTCTTTCTCTCTCTCCTTTTTCTTTTCTTTTTTTAAGCCAAATGTAACAATTTCTTCTGTTATGGTCTAGACAAACGAAATGAATTCTAAAAAACTGGGCATGAGCTTATTCTATCTGATAATTAAGCATGCGTTTAGGAACTGGATCCTCGTCTTAGTACAACAAAGAAACTTGGCATACCTTCAGAACAGAATAAAAGTAACCAATGTTAATTCAGAATTTAAGGATTCATAGTTTCCCTTTTATTTCTTGTGCACTGTCTTTGATGAACACGTTTCATGTGAATTTGACGAACTACTATGCTCTATGCGATTTAATGATACCTGGAAGAACTAAATTTCGGTATTATAAATCCAGAACCTTTGTTTGTTAAAATGTTTTCATTTAATGAGTAGCAAGTAAATGTAAATTTGGCGAGTACTAAAAATATTCGGGACCTGCTAATAATAACATTGAAGTAAATGACAACCATAGAAATTTTATTAATT